ATCAAACATACCTGCACTGGTACTTTCATTGTTGATTGCCAATTCCATATTGAAATCTCTTACACTTATACATAAAGGATACGAGCCTAAGTTTTTATTCTCCTTTTTGGTTTCCATGTAAGCACGAACCCCCATATCATTTCTAATCTCCATTGGAGGACAATTCTCGTTCACAATGTATTTGATTTCTATAATTTTATCCGATGTATCAATCGATAATTATTCTGTAATTGTAGAACTGAGAATTCCGTAGTTTGCATTATCATCTACCACAATGGCATCAATTTCAAAATCTCTAAATCTGCCATAGTTATCCCAATTACCATTCGATTTCAGCATTATTGGGATTTTTGACATGATTTCGTGTAGTTGATAGGAAAAAAGACAAAGAACAGATATAGTTTCTACAATTTGAGTACTGATATCGACGAAGAGCAATTTTGTACAATTTGAGACGAAGAACAGATATAGCCTCTCTTCAGTAATTGTACAATTTGATTGCGTTTTTTGTTGTAGCTGATATCAACAGAGATCTCTTTCTGTTGAGGAAGGAGATAATTACGCAACTGGTGCCTTCATCAGGAAGAGAGATCTCCTTCAGTTTCAAAATTCGAATAAAATCCTTGACAGAATCACATCAGATTTGGTGCCTTCATTTTAGGGCTTTTTTAATGGCAAAATCTACCTATTTTTGGATTGGTATATAATTTGTAGTAAAAGTGTGGACTACATGGGTAAATAACAAATTATGAACATTTTTGGTAATAAGATTTGATATATGGTATAGATAGGTAAAAATCTTTTATGTTATAGGTGGAAAGTATATGGGCCGTTGGATGGGAATGGGTGAATGATTGGGATTTAATTAAGAGATATGATGGGGTTATGGATTGATGGATCAAGTGGGTTAATGGCTTATGAGCTGTCGATTTGGGCCTTAAAAATGCGCTTAAAAATATTGTCCAAATCTTAGTCAAATATAAGATAAAAATACTACAAATGTAAGAGTCAATTCTAATTAATTACACTAAATTATATTAAAATATGAAACTATTTTTGGTATTCTTAAGAGATTATATTAAAATAAAAGTATAGAAAAATTAGTGAAAATCATAGTAGAAATAAAAATATATTGCTATAAAATACTAATGGCCTTAATTTAAAACAAGAAAATATTTAATGAAACTATTTTTGTGTTTTCAAATTTATACTTTAAAATTAAAAATAAGAGTGAACTATATTCCTATTAGAATAAATTCTTTAAAAATACTAGAAATACTAAACTAACTTTAAAGATGCGCGAGTCAAAAATTACGTGATTACAATGGGTAATAGTATCATCAATATAAACAAAAAATGATAGAACTAGGTTCAGATATCAATTTGTAGGATGCAAGAAAAAGAATAGAATAAACTCCAGTTATATTGGCGGACTATTGTAATAATAATAATAATAATAATAATAATAATAATAATAATAATAATAATAATAATAATAATAATAATAATAATAATAAATTGAAGGAGTGTGAAGATATTTTTAGGAAATACAGGTTTAAAACCTGAAAAGTTAGTAATATTGTAAAAAAAAATTAAACATAACCTGCACCAGTACCGTGCGCGCAAAAAATTAAGTTTTTCTTTTAAATTTTGCCCCGCTCTGCGCTGAACTCGCATATGTTTATACCCACACCGCCCCCATACTATCGAAACCAGCACGGCCCCACCGCCCCGCACCCTGCACCTTTCGTTACTATCCCTAGACGACAAATACTTTTATGTTATATTTTTTGTTCTGTATTCTCAAAGTAGTGAAGATTTCTAATTTTTTTTCGATTCGGCCATACATTCGATCTTTAAAGACAAAAAATAATAATTATAACTCTATTCAAGCAGAATTGATCAAAGTTAGGGGTGAGCGTTCGGTATTTCGGTTCGGTATGTAAGAATTTTGGTTCGGTATTTCGGTATTCGGTTTATCAATTGTGTATATCAAATACCATACCAAAATATTTCGGTATGGTTCGGTATTTCTTATTTTGGTTCGGTACGGTTTCGGTTTAACAATCAATGAATAATCAATGCTAAGTGCTAACAGTGCACATGCACAATTGAAATTTTCACTCTAAAAGAATATGTTTTTCGATATATAACAGTGCACAACTGGACAATGTGCACATGGCTGAAACAAGAATAACATATTATATTCTCTTAATTGTGGCTGAAACCTGAAACCCCTGTGATGTGAATCTGTGATAACCAATTCACAATTTCACATGGCTTAAGAATAATTGAAAAGCAAAAGCTGAACAAGACAATAACTTCTTTACAATCTGGCAATCTGCAGTTGCAAACTTGCACGCCAGTATACTCAATACTGTATGTCATATTATACAATATTACAATCTGCACAATGCACAATGAATCTGGCGTATACTGTAGTTGGCAAAAGCTAGCAAACTGCACAATGCACATTACACAACTATATTAAACAACTTAAACACAGTTAAACACTTAACACAGTCCAACAAGTCCAACAACTTAAACACAGTTAAACAAGTTAAACACAGTCCAACAAAAACAGTCTTAAGTATTAACACTTAAATACAGTGCAACACAAATAAGAGCTTGCACACATTTAGGAGTCAATGAACTCCTAAATGAATAAAGAATACGACCACCAGTGCTAAACGCGCATTCCGTCGCCACACTAGAAATTGGAATTGCCAACACATCACGAGCCAACTCCGAAAGAATAGGAAATCTAGGAGCAGTCATGCCATCAACCTCATCCATAATCAGAAGTCAGAACAGTCTTCTGATGGTGCAATCTACAATCATCAACATGGATTATGGCATATCATACTTCTGATACAAACATTCAAGAAAGCAGAGGTTTACCTGCCAATATTAGCACCTAGGGATTCATTGCTAACAAGTTCTTTTATGGAATTTGCAGTACTACCACCAATTCCTTTCTCAATTTTAGAATCAGCCTTTCCACGACTATCACTAGCATTTACCTAAAAAAAAATAAAGGTACTGTTATATTAATCCAACATCCAACAGAAAGAAAGAGTAAGTGAAAAATGATTAGATTACAGTCCGAGAATTTTCACCATTTAAAATGCGCATTCGATTGAATACTTTTTTAGATACTCTCCAAACAAAGAATTCATATAAGCATACACCTCAGCATTTATTTTCTTCCCTTTTTCCTCCCCAAAAAGTTCTTCAAGTGCTCCCTCAACATATTCAAATTTGTTACGTGGATCCAAGACGGAAGCAATAAAAATTATTTTATTCATCTTTTCAGGCTCACCCCAATACTTCTTGAAAGGCTATAACGAATTAACAATATCTTTCCAACAGATGCAGCAGCAGTCTAATACTCTAATGTAACTGCAGTCTGCAGCTAAGCAAAAGCTAAAAAGGCTAAACAAGCCACTAACATTTAACAATATCCTTTTCTAGCTATCTATAAATAAATAAAAAACCATGGCCATTACTACTCAAGTGACAAGTCCACACTCCACAATTATTTAAATCTTTCCAAACCAGCAACCATAAGAATGTCACAACAAAGAAGACTAACAATGAATTCACTCAACTGTCATCATCCGAAAGTGTCTATCACAAGAAAAATGCAAGGAAAGTTCTAAAAATCAGACCTAAACAAAGTAATCATATGGTAAGCCTAACACATAGTCGTGTACTCACAACTGTTATTATACAAGCAAATGAATTAAACAACATGAACGTGATACAGATGATATTTTCCTACTAAAGGGAAAAGCTCGGAACAGCAGTTCATTCAATCAGCAGTACAACCAAAAGAAAGCGAAATATACCTTTGAAATTGAAATTGAATCGAGCTCGGAACACTGGAACAGGACAGCAGCGTCTTCGACACTTCGTTTGCCCGAAATTTGTGAGGAGTGGGGAATCGAATCGAGCTAGAAATCGTCGCCTATAACCCTAAATTAGTTTGATGCAGAAAATCGAGCTGGGATGAGAATAAGATGAGATGAGACTTACAAAACTTACAAAAGTAGTGAAGTTAACCGGTGAAGATGAGATGAGACTCGAGCTCGACTGTCGACTGATCGTAACTCGTAAGTCGTAACTCGTAGACTGATATCCTAAGCAGTCGATTCTCGTCAAGACTCGGCACTCGCAGACTGATATCCTAGACTCGCAGTCGATTCTCGTCTTCTTCTTCTCGATGATATCCTTCCTAAGCAGTAAGCCCTAATGGCCTGGATGAGAACATTAGATCTCAGAAACACATTAGGGCTATCCATAATCAAAACAGTCTTCTCGACTTGGGTCTTGGGTATACTATTAACTGACTTGGGTCTTGGGTAATTGATTGAGATTGGGCTTGGGAGTTGGGGGAGTTGGGCCTGGGTGGGTAAGACGCCGGGAGAAGGTATGGGACTATGGGGCATGGGCTATTAAATAGGTAATTGGGCTTAGAACTTAGATATAGTCATATATATTATATAGATTCAACAAATTTTCGGTATTTCGGTGTACCAAAATTGTAAAATTATAATACCGAAAACCGAACCGAAATACCAAAAATCTAGTACCAAATTAGACCGAAATACCGAAAAAACCGAAACCGAAATACCAAATTAATTTGGTTCGGTTCGGAATTCGGTTTTTCGGATTTTATGCCCACCCCTAATCAAAGTTACCAAACTGAATAACAAGGAGGGCACGTGACAACCAATGGAGCCAAAGTTATTACTCCTTTCGTTTCAATTTATGTGAACTCATTTGATTGGGCACGGAGTTTAAGAAAAGATAGAAAACTTTTGAACTTATGGTGTAAAATGAGGCATATATATTTTGTGTGGCTATAAATCATTGCATAAAGGTAAATTGTTTCCGGGAAAGGGGTCATTCTTTTTGGCACGGACTAAAAAGGAAATATGTTCACATAAATTGAAACGGGGGGAGTATTAATCATGTGACATCTCCTTCCACTTAGAAGCTAGTTCAGCTAGTGCTTTAGTTGAAGAACCATCTTCATTCACCACCATTGCTGCTGCAGCTTGTAGCTCTCTCATTTTTTTTGCGCACTTCTTTTCCTTCTTCACCTACCATCAATTCTTTCACTACTTCGGCAATTTCCAATCGCCCTGCAATACCATTATCACCAATTTTTGTCCTCAATGCCACTTTTAAACCCTCATTTAACAAAACTGCGTTCAACCGTTGTTCGGCATAAAGAGGCCAAGCAATAAGAGGAACACTATGAATCATACTTTCCAAAGTCGAGTTCCATCCACAATGTGTCCAGAATCCACCGACTTTCCAAGAACCCATTAGGTAAAAAATCAAGAGGGTTACTTGAATTTTGGACATTAAAGTATGTACCACTAGCAATTCTATCATTTGGACATCTTATTACCCATACGAATCTTTGTTCACTCATTTCTAACCCTATTGCCAGTTCAATTAGCTGCACGTGTGAGAGGGTCCCACCACTCCCAAGTGAAATGTAGAGTACTGATCCACGTGGCTGCTCATCAAGCCATTTCAAACATTGTGATGGCTCATCATCAACTTTGTTACTTGTATCCATTAATACAACTGGTCCAACTGGATAAATGGTTGGCTTATAATTACCAGATTCTTTATCCTGTAGAGCCTTAATAGCTCCAGGTTCCAAGTCGTTGAAGCTGTTCAAAATTATGCCCTCGGCCATTTTTTTCCTCTTTGTCTGATGAAGAGCCCATTTGTATGCCTCATTTTTCCTGTCATGAACCGGGTCGGGAAGATCCTTCCCATGTACAGGTATGCAACCTGGAATAGCAATGGTGTATGTGGTTAGAAATGCATTCAATTCAATCCATAATTATTTATTAAGATCATGATATATATATATATA